GGGACGTTAAACCCCACATATCAATCAATCAAATAATTAGGTCTCTTTTTCTGGGATTCGCTATTTTGAGTTGGCTATCGAAGACGAAGGGGGACGAAAGGAGGCAGGCCTCATTAAACTAGTTGATATAGCCGCTGATGTGGTGCCCTGAGATAAGTGTGAATCGCCTTCAGTGCTCATCGGAAGGTTGGTAGCTGGAAGTACCGGAGGTGTCCTAGGGTTGAGATTGGCTACGTTAGCTTCGAGTTTATTTAGTCTATTCATGATCATGGATATTGCAAGTAAGAGGTTGTTGGTTGCCTCTACCTGTTCTTTAACTGACTTTTGTATTTCAGACAATGTTTGACTAATGCTCGAGGTTTGCGCCGCAGTTTTATCAATAGACACCTGAGCTTTTCTCTTAAGAGGTGGCGGGGTACTGTCCTCATCCATTCGGTTATCTGGCATTTCCTCGAGGCGCTCTTGGGCCGCGGAACGCATTTGACTAGAAGTTCTATCTGTGCAGTTTTTTAGACTTTGGATTTCCCGAGTAAGTTGAGATATCAATTTTCTAAGCTCAGTGTTTTCTTTTTTCAGCTCGGCTATATCACTGACACTATGCGCAGTCTCCCCCGAAGACTCAGGGCGCGTCCCTTTAGCCACGTTTGACCAGCTCGCCGTGAATGCCGGGTTCCCTTGATGGCCATTGCAACCCTTTGGCTTAGGCCGGGATCTGGAACGGAATGGAGTGCGCCTTCTCGGTCCTGGAGACTGGGAGGTGTGGCCGCGTGGCGTTGTGCCGGACCAGGATTTTGATCTGGACCCAGGCGTTGCCCTCTTCCGGAATTGGGACCTCCCGCGTTCGGTTGGCTTGGTGGTAGGGGGGTAGTTCTCCTCGTGCGTCTCATGAAGTTGTCGGAACCACAGGCGTTGTTTTACGATGTAGGGTGTCTTGAACTTGGCCTTGCAGAGTTTGTCAGCTGTGGTATCATCCTTGCCACACAGCTGACATCGTGGCTGACAGTGGTGGTCCTCGCTCAGATCAGGCGTTCCACAACCCGCACATAGCTTGTCGTTTGGCCTCCAACACACGTCGCTCCTGTGCCCAAGTCTGTTGCACTGTTTGCGAAAGTTCACTTGTTTCCTGTATAGCGAACAGCGCGTGAGCACTCCTCTGTACATGACGTGCGTCGAGACTCTGCTTCCGTCAAAAAGGACTACCACTGTCGTGGTGTCGCCAAGATGTTCGGCGGCGATGGCCGTAAGATGTCAGCCAGTAATAATCGCTGCGGTGATGTCCCATGGGGTTTCGTTCAAGGGAACTCCTGTGATTACACCTTTGACAGTGAGTTCCGGGGCCGTCTTGTATGGCTAGGGCTACCACGGCGTTGCTTGGTACCTTCCTTAGCACGTTTTCTGTTTCGAACTTCTGTCCATCCGTTGCCTGCATCATCTTCCCCTTGGGTTACGTCTTCGTCTTCCCGTTGGCTGGCGTCTTCATTCTGCTGCGATACCTCCATTATTGTTGATTACGGCCTGTATGACACGAACGCCGACGCCTGGCTATCGTGAGGCCGCCCCAGTTGACGTGTAGCGCCAGTCGTATAGTAGACGCTTCTTGGCGGGAGCTGGTTTTCGGTCGTAAAATCTCGAAAAAGGATCACCTACCTTAGAATATTGTCTCTTCTGGTTCTCGGTGACGAGAAGAATCAGATGGTATATAAATCCGAGTGGTGCCTGGCTGTATTCGCTGCGAAATCTTTCTCTGAGAACGGAGCCGATGTGAAGACCGTCCATTCACCTCGGCGACCACAGCGACCCCCCTAAGACGTCTTGTCCTTAATACATTTGTTGTACTCTTTGTTTTCCAGCTATATGTTACAAAGAAACTGTGTGCTTTGGGGCTTCAAGCACGTTCAGAATCTCAACGCACTGACATAATTCTTGTAAGTCCACAGTTTTTCTGATTTTTGTATATACCAACAAAATTGTTTTGCCGAATTGTGTGAATAGAGCATATAAACGCATGTGATTGTGCAACTAGTCATGTAAATAGTCTGCCTTTCTCTGAGTATTAATAATTTTGTTTGTTATTTCCAGCTTTTCTCAGCAACAGAACGATACAAGCTCGCGTTTCGGTGGTAAAACGTGGCACACCGAATACGTATTCATGGCCAAGAGCACGAAAATTGACCGAAAGAGAGAAGTGATCTAGTAGGAATACCACTCCATCGACTGTATAGCTGGGTTTCACAAGGCCAGCTGCAAATCGTTCCATCGGAACAATTTCGCATGAAAACATATTGCATTTATACAACTGTGGAATAAACATATAAAGTGGGGAAGCTTACGTTCGCCTTTGTTTCATAGTGTGTTATGTACTTACACACTAACAAGTTCAGCCTTCAGAGGCGTTTAATTTCGTCTTATATATTCACTGAGGCAGTGTCTTGTGCACAAAATGCAAAAAAAAAGAAATGCAGAACAAGGAATGTTGGCAACCGACCTGCAGCCGTCGGTAAATCGACGCTCATGGAAGGTCGGGCCATGATCAATCCACGTGTGGCACGCACTCAGGCTCGTCAGCCAACAAGGTCGGGCCAACGTTGTGTGCCGATGCCGGCCGGCGTGAGGCCAATGTCAATCCCCAAGACCGGCCCTACAATGGTGGCCAAAGTCGGTCCAACCACTTCGCAGTCAGTCACATACTGCTCGCCGACCTCTTGCCGAGGACAAATTGTTGCTTGGGAAGCTGATATGAAGCACTGGGGCTAGCGAGTATGGTAGCCCTGAACACTGCTGCATAAATCAACTTCTGCAGAGGGCGCCTACCTACAATTGACGCTCACCCGACGTGACGTTTGTATCATGGGATTTCATATGTAATGTTTGTTAAAGTGGATAGCCAGTACTGCAACCACAATTCACGTTTTATTGCCATTGGGGTCTATTTGGAATGTAGTTCTGAGACCTGGCATGACTCTGTGGTAAAATACTTGGTTGCCACGCAGAATGCTGCAGTGCGATTCCTGCTGAGACTCTGACTGTCACTAGTCGGGTCAACGCTGCCAAAAACCGCTTTTCCTGAACGCTCACGCGTCAAGATTACCCCCATCTGTTCTCGCCCTTCCCGGAAAAATACTGTTACGGGACTAACGAGTCGCTTACACTGCAGGCTATTCACAAAGTATATTTGCAAGACCGGTTGCAGCGCTGGACACTCCGGCTCCGAGCTCGAGCAACAAGCGACCTTCGTCTTCGTCGGGCGCACACGCGTCAACAATATGCATTCCGGCAGCCTACATGTAGCAATATAAACTGTCAGTCACCTGTGGCTCATACCCGTATACCCTGGCACATACCCGCCCGTGGGTATGTGCCGCACGTCTGGCGGAAAGGATTTGACAACGTACGCAATGGGATTGTGACATTATTTCTATCTAGACCAGTGAGTCGCATTCGTCCAGCCCTCTTACCCTTCCATAATAATTTTTATTTACCGCAAGTTTAATGGGTCATCATGAGAGCACCCAGACGTAGGCGGCTAGATAGCTAGATAGATAGATAGATAGATATATAGATAGATAGATAGATAGATAGATAGATAAAGAGATAGACTCAAAATGCCTGAGTATGAAAATAAACGCTTCGCATAGCAAAACCATGGTCCCAGCAGGTATCAAACCCAAGCGATCTGTGTGGCACTGACTTGTGTTCAACCACAGAGCAATGACAGATCTAGAAACTGTTTTTGAAAAAGCCGCTATGCAGCTGTGATGCTGGTGTGCTGCCTCACTTATGGCTACACTAGCAGGCTATGTATTATGATAACGACATCAAAAAAAAAAAAAAAAACATCACGCATATACTCCGGTGTAAGCCTTTTTAAGGTCAATGGTGGTTCAAGTGCTGACTCCAATTTTACAGCTGTCTAATAACCACTGCAATGAGGCTCGTAGCGAGGAATTTTTTTTGGAGGGGGGGGGGGTGGCGAGGATTTGCTGGCGACATTGAAAAGCACATATTTTCATTTGTCCTTTTCATCGGAATTTCCGCGTCAGGGGAACGGCGCGCTCCCCTCTGGCTACGGGCCTGATTGCCCTTGTATCCCCATGATTCAGCAAGCTGCATGCAAGCGGCGTTGCTCTACACCCCCCGAATGAATAGCCTAACAAAAGTTACGCATGATATTCAGAATATAGCACCGTCAAGCGCACTTTCTTTCGAGAATATTGACGTCTGTACTCTAACGCGAGCGTTGACGTTACGGCTGAGTGGGCATTCCGTCACTGAGCTTGTTATGCCATCTATCACCATGTAACGCATCGCTGAAACTGGGCGCTTAGCAGGCGTGAAGGATTGACTACAGGATTTCGGATAACACCCAGAATACGCACTTTGCGGAGGCGTCACAGCCGACCGATTGTCCGCTCAACGCTCTTTACAGCAGCAGGGTGAATGCCGCCACACCAACATATAGCCTCGCTCCCAACACCCAATATTTTTGTTTATCGAGTTCTGCTGTTAAAATCAGATTTGAAGAATTCAGAAATAAGCAGTGAATGTATTTTTCTTGAATGGCATTCCATTTTACACGGTATGAATATCTGGTTTCTCTAAAATAAAGGACACCGACTTATATATTGTAAAATTTATCGCAACCACAGTGTTTGGTCACCTATATACTCGGCGATCGAAATTCCCATAATAAGCGTTACCGTTTTTTGTCCAAAACATTTTGGCCTTGCATATCACGCACCTTACCACCCATTCTAATGTTCCATCTCCTTATGTAACAGCTTTGTCGGGCTAGGAATTATTAGGGTAATTACTTCATGCCGTATAGAACGCGTTAGGACAAATTCGTTTGCATTGTGGACTGATGACTTCAGTAATTTACGACTGATCGCTCTTTTGCGGAATATACAGCAAGAGCCGAGGCATGTGGAACGCAGCTCAATGTGTTGAATAAGCTGCATAAGCCAAACAAACAACAAAAGAAAATATTACAGACAACAGCACTTTTTCTTTTACTGAAAAGAACACTTTATTTTGACCACTTTATACGTACATACAGTATTCACAAAAGCGCTATTTCTTTAACAATTTTCACAAATACTCGGCACAATATCACTGTTATAAAACCGCACTTCAAAGGTTTTTCATAAAGAGTAAAAAGTGAGCGATGAAGCAAGTGGCGAACGTCACATCAAATGCTGTTTAGTTGAACGGCTGCGCCATTCGGATGCAACTCTTAGAGCGATGCAGATCATCTCGGGGAATCGTCAAAACGTGAACAGTAGCGCTTAAGACGTCGTAGGAGGTCTTGACACGTGTACCATCATTAACGAATGGAATTAGACCAGATTCAAAACAGATGAAATGTTCACGTCCTCCTGGAAACGTAGACTATAGGGCCGATGCCATGTTAGGACACTTTCTACTTTTGCCAGAAACGAATGGTCGTTTTGTCCCACGATGAATCCTCGTAGAATTTTGATAGCCTGTAAGAGAAAAAATCATCACAAATCAGGTAATCAATCGCAGTATGGTCAACAAATGCAGGCATAGAAGCGAAAGAATCAAGGGTTGTGGGAAATCGCATGCGTGGAACAGCTTCCTTAGGCTGACTAAAACATGCGTCTGAAATGCAATGGTCGCACTGCAACTTCTGTACACAGAATTATTCCCAGACGCCTCTTTACACTTGTTCATAACACCTGCTAGACGAATTAGAGAATAGAATACGAGGAACGTAATACGTGGCCTGCTTTGCGCAAGCGATCGATAATTACTAACCACCAGGACGTTTCAATCGCGCTTTCCAATGCCGACCAATGTGCACCCACTAAAGGGCACAATCATCTACTTGGACTTGTGCGTAAAGTTGGAAATCAGCATATTAGGTCATCTCAGGATATAAAAAAAGTAGTGATGCAATCCGTCGAGCCTTGCGAATATCAAGAAGACAAACAAATTAGGCGAGGTTCCATGATAAAAATAGAAAACAGCGCTTAGACACATGCAGTAAAACACACGGCGCTGAACTTGCAAGTTCAGCGCCGTATACGGCAACTTTGTGACCGGCGTCTAAGTGCTATGTTATAATTTTTTATCATCTAGCATAACTACAACATCCGCCTTGCTCCAGAGATGTGCTACTAGAAAAACTTTAAGCATAAGGTTCTTTCTGAAGACTGGTAATGAGATCAGACCTGTTTAAAAAAATTACAGTCCATTTATGATCCTCTTTTTTTTGCCATAGCAAAACGACCGCTATAGGAGAACTACCGGAACACTCTTAACGAGTTCAGGATCTGCTAAGACTTCCACAGTGTATCTTATCCAAAAAATGTGCGATCAATTGGGCTGAAAGTTTCCTCTCAGAAAGCGAAAAATATGAACTAAGCATGAAACAGACATTCCCAAACGGGAACGTTGACGCTGCAGAGCTACTGAATGACAAAATTTAGACAGTTGTCAAGGGTTCTTCAGAAAAGACAGTCGGCGTGAAAACACGCGCAATGGAGAAAAGAAGGTAGCACACACGACCACAATATTAGAAGTAAAAAAGAAGTAAAAGCTTCCTTACGGGACGTCTTCGCAACGTTGGTTTATTAGAGGCCAGCAGCTTCATGAACTCGTGCGCTTGCAGCTTCTAACGCTTGCTGCCCGCCTTTCCTGTGAAATAGATGTCGTGCCGCCGCGTGTGTGGAGTCCAGGGTGGTGTAAACAGAGACCAGGCATTGTTGAGGATTGTTTTTCAGGACAGATTTGAGGGCAGAATCCAGCACTCCAACATTGACCGCTCCTCCAATCCACAGGGCCACGTATGGCAGCTTGTTGAAGACACACACTCCGAGAACACCGTGTTCCAGCAGCCCGAACTCCGGATCAGTAGTTATTACGCAAGCCAAGCGAGTGTCCGTGTTGACGACAGGCAAGAACGTCATATCAGAACCGGGATACTGCATAGCCTGTGCGAAGTGCCAGTGCAGGTCAAAGTGCCTAAAATGCCCCTCGAAATTTTCGACCTTATACAACCGCCACGGGCCGATACGGCTGCGTGGCATGAGGAAGCAGTAAATCCAGGCCACGTAAGAAATCCGCGTTCTGTATGGTTCCGTCACTTGAAGGTAGTAAAGAATCTCACTGAGAGCAAGGTGTTGCGCTTTGCCTCCCAGTCTCCCAAACGACAGCATAAAGGTGTAGTCGAGCTGGTATAGTTCTTGCACTGAAAGGTTGAACAGGTAGCGGCTCAGCGTCTGCAAGTCTTTTGCTGTCATGGCTTGAGGCGAAATCGTCTTGCCAAGCGTTCTTACAGTTGAATCCAAAAATGCACTCTTGCCACACAGCAGCGCTCAACCAAGTATTTCGCGCTGGAGGGGCGGTGTGTGCTATTTATATCGCCTCCTCTCAGCAAATACTTATCACTTGCCAAGGCGTAGCCGGCTGATTTCGAACCTTATTGACAGGTTAAAATAGTGTCAAAATCACGTCACGTATAAAACTAGCGCATGTCTGTACACCAGTGTATGACGGCGTAAAACGTAAATCAGATACAACGGCGGCGGTGATTTATCACTCCTTTCGCCATTCGCTTTCTCTTTTCGGGTTGCAAGTTCGTTGACGTCAAGTGGTACAGCGGTGAGCACTGTTAGGGTGAACACGTGAGCGCTAGGCCGACGGCACTGTCAGCACCCCGTTGCGGTCATCACTGGAAACATTGCGCATTCGTATCACGCCTTCCGCGAAATAGTTGTTCCACCGCGCGCATGACGTCATGAATGCACTTGTTCGTCGTCTGCCAGCCGCATTTTTGTTTTCTAAGTCCATGCATCCTGCATTTTAAGATTTCTTTAAACATCTGTGCTTGAGCAGAACATGACAAAAAACTTGTATATCTATGGGGGCGTGTCTATTCGTTTCCTTCAAAGTTGTTGTGCACGCAATGCCGTATATAAAACAACCAAACATCTTTTGCAGCCGTTCATTCTGTCGCCAGGTCGTATTATGGTCAGGGTTCCTGATGATGAACGGCGCTCAATTGTCGATCTTTCCCTGAAAGGTTATTCCCAGCGGTATATTGGCGCTTTAGTTAATTGGTCCCTGAAGACTGTGAACAGGATAATTCAAGCCTACAAGTATGAAGGTCGCATTCAGGATGCACCCCGCGCGCCCCGCCCTAAAGCTACCTCAGACGACGAAGACGCCCTCATAGTTAATTGCAGCTGCTCTTCGTAACCCTTTCTTGCCAGCCCAAGCAATACGCGATGACTTGGATTTGGACGTTTCGGACACCACTGTTCGACGTCGCCTGCGTACTGCGGGCCTTCGCAGTCATGTCGCAGCGCAGAAGCCACTACTAACGGCGGCACACAAGGACGCACGACGGCAGTTCGCTGAGCTGCACAAAGCATGGACATCAGAAGAGTGGGGTCGCGTAATCTTTTCGGATGAGTCGACGTTTTCGGCGCGACAAGACCAAAGATTGCGTGTTTGGAGACTATCAGGCACACGGTGAGGCAATCTTCCTGCTTTGAGAAGCAATTGTTTTAGTTGCCACGCAGAAACCACGCTGGAAATGCCACGCAGGAACGACCCAGACAACGTGCAAGGTGTTTCTGCCAGTGGGAGATCGAGTGTGAGCGTGTGGGGTGCTGTTTCAAGATATGGCTTAGGGCCCCTGCAACGTATACGTGGACACTTATCGTCGGAACAATACTACAACATTTTGAACAATGTGCTGCTGCCATATGCGAGCAGTTTATTCCCAGACGGTGATTACCTGTTCCAACAGGACCGGTCACCGTTACACATGGCGCGGGCTGTCAAGTAGTTCCAGGCGGAGCAGCACATGCAGCTACTGGAATGGCCTCCGAAAGGAGCGGACTTGAATGGGGTAGAAAACATGTGGGGCCGTCTCAAAGCTTCTTTGGCAAGGAAACTCCTTTATTCCGCGACTTCGAACTAGTTGTGGGCGCAAGTCAGCAACGAGTGGGAAAGGCTGAAAGCTGATGGAGAATATGTTCGATCACTTTACGACTCGTTACCGTCCAAAATAGCTGCAGTCATTGCTGTAAGTGGTCACATGACTCGCTATTAGATTTGCTCTAGTTTCTATATTTGTTTTCATGGTCTTGTTTAACTTGAATTGCAAAAGTGCAATTTTCTTGAATAAAAAGTTTAATAATTATACCTCTTACACTCACTTTTCCCCTTCACGCGCCAATCTTCAATCCAGATAAACCATGAAATGCAGATAAACCATGAAATGCTCAGCGAACAAAAAATGCGGCTAGCAGATGACGAACAAGCGTATCGATGACTTGTTGCGCGTGGCCGAAAGAGTGTTTCGCAAAGCATATGCTGCGCATGTGCAATGTTTCCAACAATAGCTGTTACGTGGCGCTGATAGTGCCGTCGGCCACGCGCTCGCGTGTTCTCCCTAATGCCTAGTTCACACTGAATCATCCGCTTTCTACAGCGACCGAAATTCCCCTGCCGCCGAAACGCAGCGTCGTTCGCACTGGACGCGCCCCGCGCCGCCGAATATGCCATCTACACCGGGCGAACGCGGGATGGATGCGCTGTCACCCGGTTGTTGTCGCGGCTCGCAAACGCCACCAACGCCACTACGCTATCCGGTGGCGTATACTTCGATGATTCTCGTACGCAGGAAGCAAGAAAAGACAGTACGGCCAACTTTGCTGCCAAGTGGCTGTCTTGTAATGCACGAAGAGCAGAAAAACCACCGACGCCAGCGGCGTTGGCGGGTTCGTTTTGCTCTGCAACACCGCAACAAGCTCGGTCACGCCAACAGCAAGCTCGGTCACGTCTTCCACGAAATACGGACGCGAAGTAGGCACAGAGTAGGTTAAACTCCCATTGGTTTCAACATTCAGTTACGTGCACTGCGGTATAAGAAGTGAGTAGGGCTTGGCCGCCATTTTTTAAAATTCCTAGACTAGCGCTCATATTGGTCCGCGGTGACCGATTCGGCGGCAGACGCCGCAAAAATCGGTCCGAGAGCGATCGGCGCGGAGAGGGCACTTTCGGCGAATTTTGCCGCCGACGAACCGGATTCGGAGCACTTTCGGCGGTCGGAACACTCAGTGTGAACGCGGCCTAACAGTGCTCACCACTGTACATACTGACGGAAATGTCTACCGCTCGGATTTTCTTTCCCGCTCGTAGAGTTCGAATGCTTGATTGTCATACCAGCAGCAACGAGCATGCTTTGAAGCCATAAACAATGATTGGCATCTTCAAATATTTCTCCGAAGGTGGTGAAAAATGAGTGCTAGTGGTCACGCGACAGTAATATCACACTTACGTATCATTTTAACAAAGCTGATAAAGGGCGACAGTTAGATATCGAAGTTAGCTCCCCTTTCCTGAATACTGAAATAATTTAGTCTTTTTAAATTGTAATAGGAGTGACCCAGTCCTCAAAATTGGATCACACGTGGTATAGGGATGACAATATGGTTGGCAATTGACTGGGCGAGCGAATTCCGTCAAGTCCTGCAGAAGTCCCTTTAGCTATACTAACAATACCGAGGATTTTATGAGGATCTGTTGGGAAAAGGTAAAATGACTGTGAACAGCAGACGTGAGATTTATTCGGTGTTGGGGGTAGACAAGAAGATTGATTACAGTAAGTTCAATTCATTCGCAATGCCAATTGGCTGATCTAAGACATGGTCTGCAGTTTGAAGCTTAGTGATAGCTAAGTCGGATGTGTTTATCTTTAAAGAGTTGATAATGTGATATTGTTCTTTAGTGTTGCCAGTGGGCGTTTTCTCCTGGTAATAACATTTATTGGCTCTTTTAAAGAGTCTATTTACAGTAATAGAATAGAAATGTAACAATTTTAGTTTGAGATTGAAAAAAAAAACGGCGTTCGACTTCACTGTGAAGGTTTTATTTTGGGCATTTATGTTAGTATACTGTTTGTTATCTACGAATTATGGAGAAATGAGTAGATTCTCCCCCATTTAACTAGCGTGACACTATCATGAATACACTTACAATATGCGAGACGAAAGATATTCAGAAGCTATGTTGGCATCTCTGCACGTTTCAATGAAAGACCAGTCAACATTTGTTATGTGGTTTATACAAAGTTTTCTTTGTTTAAAGTTGTTCAAGAAAACCTAAATTCATAATTATATGTGAAACTTTCATATGAAAAAAAAAAACACAGGACAATTGCCAGTAATGAACGTGACAGTTTTCTGGTGAAATGAAGTTAGAAAGAACATGATGGATGTGTTACGGCGTTCAGGATTACACTATAGTTGGAATCGCGATTAAAGATTCGTATCCGAAACCTCGGAAACAATTTGCGTGCTATGTGCGATTGGTAGCATCATCAAGTAAATCATTGTTTGAATTAATAAATAATAACGACCTTCTTACCATCAGAAGATAAAGTTTCAGGGAGAGCATTAAAACTTGAACAAGACTGAAATTGTTCTAGAAGGACAACAATAAATAGTTTCAACAATATGCTGATCAGTGGATTTCATTGATTGATATTTAGAGTTTAACGTCCAGAAACCACCATATGATTATAAGAGACGCCGTAGTTGAGGGTTCCGGAAATTTCGACAACCTGGGGTTCTTTACCGTGCACCCAAATCTGAGTAAACGGGCCTACAACACTTTTTGCCTTCACCCAAAATGCAGCCGCTGCCGCCGGGATTCGATACCGCGCTTTGCGGGTCAGCAGTACACCTAAGCCACCAGACCACCACAGTGGGATGATTATCAGCGGATGAAGGCTTTTCTAGTTCTATTCATTGATTGATATGTTGGGTTTAACGTCCCAAAACCACCACATGATTGTGAGAGACGCCGTAGTGGAGAGCTCCGGAAATTTCGACCACCTGGGGTTCGTTAATGTGCAACCAAGTCTGAGCACACGGGCCTACAACATTTCCGCCTCCATTGGAAATGTAGCCGCCGCAGCCGGGATCCGATCCCGCGACCTGCGGGTCAGCAGCCGAGTACCTTAGCCACTAGACCACCACGGTGCGGCCAACGCACGTCAATGTGAATTGATGATAAGCTATAATTGCTCAAAAAGGACTCTAATGTATTTTTACTAAAATAGGATGACATGGCAAAGCACGGTTTTCACTGGATAGATACGTTACTATAGGTAAAAATATCTATCAAAAGACAGAAAGGTCCGTTTCGGTGCAAATGCAATACGCCTTACATTCATTAGATTAGATTCTTTCGCCTTAATGTGACAATAGTCAGCCCAGATGTACGACCAACCCTTCTCTCTTTTGAGAGAAAGAGCTTTCGCAAAGGATCTTTTGTTTACTGCAGTGAAGTGGTCATTTACAAGCACAGAATAATGACGAGGGCCTGGAAATCC